CAACCTCCTAAGAAACTCAATTTAAAGGATGGGGTGAGGAAGCATATCTTTAGGTGACAGAACACTGGTAGGCAGCTTGTGGGTTTTTTGTTTCTTTGTTTAACCAGTTTATTGAGGTAGGAGAAGAAATCAGAGAAGAAGGTGCATGAAGGGAGTGATTAACAACATGAACTGCTTCAGAAAGGGACTTCTTTTTTGTCTATGTGTTTTACCTTCCTACTCCCTATCTTTTTGGGATCTTATAACTATGACTGACTTAGGTTATTCTCCAGTATTTCTAGAAAATGAGCATTGGAAAAACCCAATTTTAAAAAGGCTAAGACTAGGACTTTCAGGTTCACCACAACTACCACCATTTAGGAGATAACTGTAAAAGAAGAAACAAAATCTAATTTTGTTCTTAGCCAGCATTATAAACCATGCTCCAGTATACTAGATAGCACTTAGTAGCATACTGTATTTATTTCCATAATTTGTCTTCTTTAGAGCCTGTGCACGCCTAGGAGCAGAAGCTATATTCTCTTCATTTTTGTCATCTCAGGGTCATGGCATATACTAACGGATCAGTATTTGTGAATAGAATTGGAATAGCCTAGTAGTCTGTGGTTTATGAGTATAGGCTGGGTGGCAGTGGATCAAGAAGTGATAATGAGTATACAGGATGAACTCAGCATTCCTGAATTTTCAGGTAAGTGGGTACTTAACCAGATTATCATTGTTTTTTCCCACTCACCCCAAGTTGGAGGTTCTATGGTTTTATACTTTAAGCTGCTGGTATAATTGTCAAGCATGTAAATTCTGGCATTATTCCTAGTATGGCTAGAGCATTGTTATTTCTATGCACGGGGGTAAAAGGCTCAGAGAAAGATTCTGGCAGAGGACCCAGTGAGAAATTGTCAGTAGCAGCCAGTGTGTACATAGATGGACCTAGCATTCATCTGGAAGCCAAGTATTGTGAATTGGCCTATGGCTATCACCTGGAAGATTCCCTTGGGAAAGAGCCAGCCAGCTCCATGCTGCTTTTCAGCAGCAAGGGTTAGGGAGGTTGGCTGTACTTGAAGAACAGAATGGACATGGAGCAGATTTTGCCCGGTTGAATAAGATATAAATTTATGACCCTGAGTGAAGCAGAAATAAAGTACTTAGCAGGGGGAATGAGAGGATGATGATTAGGGCAAATTTTGCTATAAACTTTAGCTTTAGAAAAGATTGATATTGAAAAGCCTTCAGGATTTGCCTGCTGGTTGCTACTCAAGATAAAAAGACTGGGAGCCCAGGGCCTGTATTGTCTGGTCCTAGAGCTTAAGGTTTTCAGTGAAGGCTTGTCCTGGCACCTCTGGGCATTCCTTTTTGGTATTGGTCGAGTACCCTTCAATTTTGCTCTGTCAATTGGCAAAATATGCTGGAGCACATTCTGAACCTTCAGGTGCCTTGGGTATTTGTTGGGTATCTCTTGCTTTAGCAGACCCCAGAATCTCATGGCAATTAGGATTTGGTGGCTTAAAGAAAGAGTTATAGTGCAAGGAAAAGACTTGTTGGAAGTTCTGAGTCCGGGCAGTCTTGAAGCTGCTATCTACTGCTTGAATGGAAAGTAATGTTGAATTGGAAAATTAGCTCACCTTTTTTGTTACTAGCTTTGCAGACATTTGTTCCTCTGATTATAGGCTGAGAAATGCCTAGGCAGGCTTAGAAGGCACACACAGCATGACAGAAGTACTCCTCCAAAGCAGCTGTGTCAAGAAGGAAGGCTGCAAAAGTGGATTTACTGAGAAATTAGGTGCATTTAGAAGTTTTCCACTTATGCACAACTGCCTTCCCCAGTATATCATATCAAGGTTTTTTAGGCCTTTGTGGCTTACCCTACAGGAACATACTGTCCTCTTGTTCTGGACTGTAGCACCTTCACCAAAATCCTCTTGGCAATAGTTTTTTTATTTGGGTTTTTTTTTTTTTTTTTGACAAAATATAATAATATTGAGGGATCTTTCTAGGGAACCTTTGGTCCCTCGTCCCCATTTTCCAAAGGCAGGGAACTTTTAGCCAGGTTTTTGAAAAAGATTCATCAGCTATTAATGAGAGTGAGCTGCAAAAGGAAGAAGAGTTTGTTTGGGTACTTTGAAGTACTTAGCTAGGTGTTTTGTACAGTATCTTATATAATTGCACATTATGGCATCTTACAGCATCTTTACATGTGAAATAGTTCATCAGTTATCTTCAATTGCATATCATAAAATTCTGATTAAATTTTTCTTAAATGAGAAAATTCATTTCACATGACAAGAAATCCTAATTTAATGTGACTCCAAGGTTGGTTAATTCATTGGCTCAGTGATAACACCAAAGAATCAGTTTCTTGAAATCTTTTTTTACTCTGCCATCCTCCATGTTGTTTATCCTCACACTAGTTCAACTCATTGTCCCAATATGGCTACTGTAATCCCAGGAAGGAAATACTGACAGAAATATTGTCTAGTGAAATAGAGACAGTTTTTTCCGTGTCCTTCTAAAGCAAGGAAGTCTTTCCCTGGAAGCTCCAGCAGATCCAGCCTCGTGGCTTTGCTGGACATGGGTTATCTCACTCCTGTCATTGGCAACGCAAGTAAGATCATCTGTCATGAGTGGCTTAGATTAATGAGTTATCCTTTTGAGTCAGGTAGACTAGAAAGTCCAGTCATGTCTACTAGCAAGAAAGGAGATAAGGGCTATTGGATAGGCAGCATCTACTCTCAAAGGTACTTCAACTTTTACAGATGAGAAACATGAATCTGAGTGACTTTCCCAGGCTCACAGCAAGTAAGAGAGAGCCTTCCATGTTAACTGTGTCTGTCCCTAAAGCCCATGTTTTATATTGTATCTTGCTAGAGTATAAAGTAACTTACTTTCTACCTTGTAGAAACTGATGCTCTAGGAATAGAGATTTGAACTCAGGGGCCATGTTGACTCTATCTTGGCCCATGTGAGCAGATTCTATCCAGTTGCTCTCCTCATCCAGTGATGTTTCTTGTCTAACACAAGAAGCCTAGGAGTAGAAAGCCCTAAGTGGAGTAGAATAACAGTGACAGCAGGGAGGAAGACGTATACTGTATGTCCCTGAGCCTGACTTACTAGGCCGGGACTTACCAGTGCTTAAAGTGAGCAACTGGCCACGCTGTCTTTCCTGCATGCACTGAGTATTTGGTAGCTCATTATGCCTTTCCTTAGTGACCGGTGATATTGATCATCTTTTCTTGTGCTTATTTACTATCCCCATATCCTTTGTAAGTTGTTCACATCTTTTACCCATTTTATTTTTTGTTGTTTTTGAGATAGTTGTCTCACTGTCACTGGAGTACAGCGGCTCAATCACAGCTCACTGCAGTTTCTGCCTCTTGGGCTCAAGCAATCCTCCCACCTCAGTGTCCTGAGTAGCTGGGCTTACAGGCGCACACCATCATGCCCAGCTAATTAAAAAAAAAGTTGGTTTTTTTTTTTTTTTGTAATGGTTGGGTCTCATTACTATTGCCCAGGCTGGTCTCTCTCAGCCTCAAGCTATCCTCTCACCTTGGCCCCTCAAAGTGCTGGAATTACAGGTACAAGCCACTGGGCCCAGCCTCTTTTACCTGTTTTAAAATAGAGTTTTATTGAGTTGTAAGGGTTCTTTACTAATTTTAGATACAGGTCTTATGTTAGATGTATGTTTTACATCTATTTTTCCCAGTCTGTGTCTTGCCTTTTCATTTTGAAGAGCAAAAGTTTAAAATTTTGCTAATTTATTAAAGCTCCATTTGCTTCATTTCTAGTTTATGCCTTTGTATCATATTTTAGGAAATTTTGCACTGGGTATTTGGTGGCTCCTGAGGAGGCTCAACTTTCAGAGGGCACTGATTTCTCTGCACCTGAGATTTTGTACTATTTCTGTATTTCTTTTTGTTTTTCCCCCAAGACAGAGTCTTGCTCTGTTGCCCAGTCTGGAGTGCGGTGGCGCAATCTCGGCTCACTGCAATCTCCACCTCCCGGGTTCAAGCAATTTTCCTGCCTCAGCCTCCTGAGTAGCTGAGATTACAGGCATGTGCCACCCCTCCTGGCTAATTTTTGTGTTATTTGTAGAGACGGGGTTTTACCACGTTGGCCATGTTGGTCTCCAAGTCCTGACCTCGTGATCCACCCGCCTTGGCCTCCCAGAATGCTGGGATTACAGGTGTGAGCCACCATACCTGGCCGTGTTTCTGTATTTCTTCTGAGAACAACCAGTATTACCAGGGATGAAGGCAGAGTTTTAGCTTGTTTTCTGAGCCCCATTCTTGAAGCCCATTTATTTATTCATCTGTCCAACAATCCAACAAATATACTGAATGTTGCTATGTGCCAGGCACTGGCACTGTTCTGGGTACTGGGGCAATGGCAATTAAGATAATACCCAATGACCCCGCTCTGTACCCTTAAGAGCAGACTCAGTTGGGAATGAGTTTTCAAAAAATAGGATGTACATGTAGTCAGGAGAGAGCCTTATACAGCTTTGCCTTTGACAGAATCCTTCAAACCTTTGTCTTCCCACTTGATATTACAATTCATGAGCCTTTCACATGCTTTCACTCTAAAGATGCGGGTTCCTGGATAGCAGAAGCAGATAGGAAGGCATCGTTGACATTTACTGAGGTGGCTTGAATCAGAGGGTATAAATTCCGCTCCATCAATATTGAGCCCACCTCAAGGGTTCATCACTGTCACCATGTCTAAAGTCTATTCTGGAAGAAGGTGAAGAAGCCTGCCTTTGTTTAGGGAACCAGTTCCAGAATTGGGGGTTAAGGATATAAAAGACCCTTGCACAAGAGTTGGTATTTACCCTGTCAGATGCTGCTACCAAGATTTGGATTGTGTACAGTCGAGGATTAAAAATGACTTTTAAGATGCAGTGTTTCATCTGGTGACATTTAATTTGATATTTTAAAATTGGGGAGGGTATTTTCAGCCACGGCGGTAGGGATGTAAAGGAAGAAGAAAGTAAGAATTGGAGTCAGATGTGGGTTTGAGTCCCATCCATTTATTAAGTGTTTAATATATGATAAGTGCTTTAAAATGATAAATAGTAAATACTTCTGTTATTCACTAACATTTGGGAAGGGGTTTCTCTGTGCTTTATGTACATTTCCTAACCTTACAACTGTGTAAGGTACATGCTATTCTCTGAGTTTTTCAGATGAGAAAATTGAAGCCCAAAGAGATCAAGTGACTGATCCAAAGTCCCACAGTGAGGGCAAGTGAAGATAGGATATTCTTTCTCCTCTTCCTCTTTAAAAAATTACTTTGATTAAAAAAAAAAAACTAAACCGTATTACTGAAGCATAGGGATCTGGGGAGAAATTATGAGTCATTCCTCAGCCTGAATAAGGCAACAAATATTTATTAAGGACCTGCTATTTGCCTGACATTCAAGCGGGGTGGGGGGCACAGTAGTAAATAACAGAGCGGGCAAAGAGCTACCAAGGCAATACAGTAGTAGACTAACAGGTGCCCCACCATAGATGGGTGGTCCGAAAAAGGCATCTCGATCTGTCTTTCATTGAGACGTAAAACACTGTGGGGTGGGGAGTAAGGGGAGGGTGGAGAGGAGAGAAAGGGTTCCTGGCCAAGGGAACCAAAAGCAGAGAAGCTCCAAGTCAGAAAAAAACAGCGCTTGGCCCGTTGGAATTGGAAGCCGACCAGTATAGCTGCAGCACAGGCGGGGCCCGTTTACGCCGTGCGTTTTCACCCTGGAAAGGAGTTTTGGTTTTCTAAGTGTGACGAGGCGCTATTAAAGAGTTTTTAAACATGGAAATTACTCGATCTGGTTTTGCGTAGTGCCCTATTTATTAGTCATCTTTTCCAAACTATATTCATTTTTTTATCCTAAAAATGGTCCTTAAAGCAGCCTAGGACTTAGGTCAATTGCGATGGTCACTTGACCGTCTGTGAGGAGGCGGCGCGTGTGGGGCGGCCCCCACTGGGCGTGGCGGGGGCTCAGGAAGGAGGGTGGCCCTAACCCAGCGGGCTCCGTTCGGGACCTCCGTGGCAGGTCCGGGTCCTTTACCAGCCGGCTCCCGGTAGGCTGCTCCTCAGGTAAGCCCCGTTGGAGGCTGCGACGTCGCCGCAGGCAGGCGCCGCCCCACCTCGTGCGGCGCGAGGAGTCCTGCCCCTCCGGGTTGTCTCCGGCCGGCACGGCCCCGCGGGGGACGGCCGAGCCAGCCGCGTGTGGCCCGGCTCCCGGACACCTCCCCGGCGTCCTCCGCGCCGGCCGCTCCCGCCCCGACGTCGCCCCGGCACGGCTCGAGGCCCAGAGACGAGGCGAGGACGCCGGGCAAGCCAGGCAGCGGAACTGACGCCGACGGGCTTCCGGGGCGGCCCCGGGCAGGTCGGCGGCGGCGGCGGCGGCCCGCAGTCTTGGAGGAGCGGTGGGAGCGTAGGCGACCGCGGACGATGCAACTTCCGGACGGGACTCCCCTCAGTCCTCGCAACACGTCTCCCCTTCCTTTCGCCTAGTCCCTTGCCGTCTCCAGTCCGCGACTCTTCCCGCCCAGAGCTTTCGGAGTGCAGTTGCTCAGGGGAAGCCATTGCCGCCCCCGCCTCGGGGCCGAGTGAGTGCCGGTCGCGCCGCCTCCTCCCTCCGGGCCGCCTCCTTGCCCCCAGTGGCGGGCTCCGTTCTCGCTCGAAGCAGTCCCCCCAGCTCCATGAATGGAAATCGGCTCCGCAGGTGAGTCAGAGTCGCTGGGCCAGGTAGGGGGTGTCACCCAACTACTGTCCTCTGAGCATCCCTGCTCCTCCCGCCTGGCCCAGGTGCACGAGGTGAGCGTCGGGCGAGCATCTCCTGGTCTCCCGCTCCTCGGTCTGCTCCCCCACGACCTCCCCGCAGCCCAGTCGCAGTTCCCTGGGGGCCACTGAGTTGGCGAAACTGCGAGGCGGGGAAATTGCTTGGAGGGTTTAAGTTTGGGATTATCTAGGCGATATTACTCTTTACTGGAGTACCCTTCTTCTAGACTCTAAAATGGTTTGCCATTGTCTAGTTGGAGTGCGTGTCCTTTAGCCAGGTTGTGTGCCCCGTAGAGGCTGGGCAGCCAGCCAGCTCCTTTACCTACCTCTTAGGGTAGTTGTGAAGATACAGTGAGATAACGGATAACTTCAAATTAAGTTTGAAGGAGGTGTTGGTGTAACGTCAAATTCAATATGGCATTGCTCCCACCCCCAAGTTCTTTTCTGTTGTTGGTGGCAGCATGGTAGATAGTTTCTGAGGAGCTTGGAAATGTCATAGCAGCCTGGATCACTGCTTATAAGAGGAGGTGGATCTTAAAATTGCTGACAGTATTTTTTTCCCCCATTCTCTATTTTCTAGAGAAGTAGTTGTCATATTCCTGGAAATTTGGAATTTAAGAAAACTGCTATATCTCCAGGGGGCGGGGGGTGGGGGAAGAACAGCAGTCTTGCAGTCTTGAGAGAAAATTGCAACATGGATAATACTTGTCCTTAAAAAAGGAAAAGTACTCTTTATGGTTCTAAAGTAATTAATTCAGGGACAGAAAGTAGGTGTTGCATAACAGTTTGCCTTACAAATGATCATACTTGGCATTTTAAATTTGAAAGTATGCTTCAGATGATCACAGTTCGTAAATTAATTTTCAAAATATTTTCTGGGCTGTCTTGTTACTAATGGTATCACAAGTTCCTGAATTCCCTATCTCTTTTTGCCAATTTGATATAAGCAAAACTTATGTAAAAGAAATCAGTGACGTAACGATAGCTAAGAACTTTGTTGAATAGATTTAGAATATAAGTGTCAAATGGATGCAAAAAAGCACTCAAAAACTGGGGAGGTGAGATGGGGAGAGGGCATAATTTTTTTTTTTTTTACAAATTTTGTTAGATGAAAGTTTCTCTGATCAATTTCTACCATATTTTTTTCGTGCTCCATTGTTTCGCCTTCCCCCATATCATCTTAAAAACAATCTGTCTGGATTGTGAAAACATTTAGACCCTTACTTGTTGATTTTTGATTTGTGTATTTCTGAAACTGTCTTGCCTTTTTAAAAAATTACCATACTACTTGTTTTACTATATAGGAAATGTGATTATTTGGGACCATAGGTGATTTTTGTACGTAACTGTCCTGTTGTGAAGTCTGGAAAACGAAGTATGAAAGTGGGACCCTTTATTAGTCATCCTAAAACTTTTAAAGGTATTTCAAAAAAGTTTTTAAAGTTTTTTTCTTAGGGTTTTTCATATGATATTGTGCCCATATATATGGACAGTATCTTAGAAAACATTTGTAACATCAAACCACCTAGTCAACTGGTACAACTAGCCAAGTACGACACAGGAAATACATTTTACCTCTTTTCTTTTGGGTGTGCCATTGCTGAAATAGATACCCGTTTAGCTATCTTCACATTTGGGGAAGTGTATAGTCAGATTATCAACCATATGCTTGGGTCTATTGAAAAGTAAAGTTTTTTTCTTCAGTACAGTTAATACATGATAGAATATAGTCTAATAGTGAAGATAAGCTATACTTTGGCTTAAGATTGATATTATCAAAAACAAAATTTCCATTATTCCTGAGACTTAGTACTCTTGGTATGCTTAGTGTAACGTTGAAAGCATAGCTGTGCAGCTAACTTTTAAATCCATAATTTAGTCTGGGCGTGGTGGTTCATGCCTGTAATCCCAGCCCTTTGGGAGGCTGAGGCAGGATGATCGCTTCAGCTTAGCAGTTGGAGACCAGCCTAGGTAACATAGTGAGATCTGTCTCTACAAAAAATAGAGACGTTAGCCAAGAATAGTGGCACATGCCTGTAGTCCTAGCTACTTGGGAGGCTGAGGCAGGAGAAGAATTGAGCCCAAGAGGTACAGATTGCAGTGAGCCATGATCATGCCACTGCACTCCAGCCTGGGTGACAGAGCAAGACCCTGTCTCAAAAAAAAAAAAAAAATCTATAATTTGACATATATATTTTGATTTTAATTTGAGTGTAGATGTTCTCAAAAAGTCTGTTGAGTCAGTATTGAATCTTGGCTCTCCAGTTCTGGCGAAAGTTTTTCCTTTGTGTGGAGTCTCAGAAACCATCTTGTGGTAGGATATTTTAAATTCTAGTTGTTCAGTGGATACATAGAAAACTATTAAATTTATTTACATTAGAGAACCTTGAATACAAATACCATATAAGTTAGTATTTGTCTATTCTTTCATATGAAATACTTTAAATGCTTTTTAAGGATATCTTGTGCTGTCTACTGATTTAGTACTGTCAGAACTTTGATTTAACAGCAACAACAAAAAACCCTGGAGTAATTAGTTAAAAATTAATCAACAGTTTAATGTCTGTGTCTATGACTCTTTAGTTAGGGGAATGTCTGATGAAACACCATTTTCTATGGTCTGATTACTGCTAACCTAAGAGTATAGGTTATGTTTCATTCAGTTCTAAATAAAGTGGGAAGAGGGAGCAGCAGAAATGCTCGATGATATAACTTCTCCTGAGTACTCATTTTTTAGATCCATCGTATTCTAGTCTTATGTTTTCAGATAAAGTTAGACTACATTTAGGACAGAGGAATTACACTTTATAATGGAAGAAAAAAGTTTACTTTTATCTTAAATTAATGATATGCAAATTGTTTGATGGAAGTTTTATACAGTCTTGCAAAAGTGAATAGACTGTTTCTTTCTTATTTATACTTTTAAATTGGTGTCTGAAAATAATTGTTTTAGAGTTTAGTGTTTGTTAATAAAAGTTTTAAAAAAGTTATTTAGAACCAAGTTCTAAAGGAATAAAAGTTGCATATATGGGAAGCTAGAACTAAATCAAGATTGGGATTTGAATCATGTGGATAAAAATTATGGGTTAAAAATACCTGCTAAAATATATAATGCTGTCAGGGTCCCAATTTAGTATTTAAAACAATCTTCTTTAATAACTTTGGAAAATGTTTTTGTTTTGTTTTGTTTTGTTCTTTTTTATTGTTATTTTTTTTTTAAGATGGAGTTTCACCATGTTGGTCAGGCTGGTCTTGAACTCTCAACCTCAGGTGATCCACCCGCCTTGGCCTCCAGAGTGCTTGGATTATAGGCGTGAGCCACCACACCCGGCCCGTTTCGTTGTTATATAAACTTTTTCAGTTGTAGTTCTTTGCCTTGAAGGAAAAAAAAATCAAATTACTGTTCTGTCTGTGGGTATACATTTTGAAAGTGATAAAGGTTTTTCTACTGGGTTGTCACTTAAATTTTGGCTTGTACTGCCTTGGAGTGGCGATTAGGACTTTTAAAAAAAAAACTGTTGCACTTGATTGTTAGTGGGACTTAAAAAATGTGCAAGATTATTTTAATGTTTGGTTTAGAATTTCTCTTTCAATGAACGGACTCCTAGGGAAAATAGAAAAGGAGACATGAAGTAACTTTTTTCTTCCAAACAAAGACTTAAGGGAAAACCATATAGATAACCTTCAAATATAATTGAGTTATGAAGATATCTAAATAATTAACTGGCCGGGCATGGTGGCTCACGCCTGTAATCCCAGCACTTTGGGAGGCCGAGGCGAGTGGATCACGAGGTCAAGAGATAGAGACCATCCTGGTCAACATGGTGAAACCCCGTCTCTACTGAAAATACAAAAAAAAAATTAGCCAGGCATGGTGACTCGTGCCTGTAATCCCAGCTACTCCGGAGGCTGAGACAGGAGAATTGCCTGAACCCAGGAGGCAGAGGTTGCGGTGAGCCGAGATCGCGCCATTGCACTCCAGCCTGGGTAACAAGAGCGACACTCTGTCTCAAAAAAAAAAAAAAAAAAAAAAAAAATTAACCATGATTCTATCAGCCTCATATAACCATTCTGTACTTTTTTTTCTTTTTTTTTTTGATACGGAGTGCCGCTCTTGTTGCTCAGGCTGGAATGCAATGGCGCAATCTTGGCTCAATGCAGCCTCTGCCTCCTGGGTTCAAGTGATTTCCCTGCCTCCCAAGTAGCTGTGATTACAGGTATGCGCCACCACGCCCGGCTAATTTTGTATTTTTAGTAGAGGTGGGGTTTCTCCATGTTGGGTCAGGCTGGTCTCGGAACTCCTGACCTCAGGTGATCCCCGTGCGTTGGCCTCCCAAAGTGCTGGGATTACAGATGTGAGCCACTTCGACTGGCCCATTCTTTACATTTTTTAATCCAAATTCTAAACTAATCTGTTTAATTTTTTTTTTTTAATTAAGGAATTGGCAGGGTGTGGGGGCTCTCGCCTGTAATCCCAGCACTTTGAGAGGCTGAGGCAGGGGAATCACCTGAGGTCGGGAGCTTAAGACCAGCCTCACCCAACATGGAAAAACCCCGTCTCTACTAAAAATGCAAAATTAGCCAGGTGAGGTGGTAAATGCC